ATAACATAAAATATTAACATAAAATATAAACATGAACCAAATAGCACAAACATATTATAACATAAAACTGTTTTTTAAATGTAACATAAATGGAATTACAAACAAAAATATTGTTTTCCAATGAAAAATTGGAACATTCCTGCCCAATAAAGGCCAGCCATGCTGAAACCCTTTGTTTCATTTTTTTTCAGTTAACACTTTTCTGTGTGGATTGTTTCAATTTTGAAGAATCCTCATTTTTTCAGCAGAAAAAGTTTTCATTGGAAAACTGTTGACCAGTTCTAGTCACCATTATTCACTTTTCTTCAAGCACCTAATGCTATTGGTTTCTTCACCCACCACGGGATGCAAATAACTCCATTGAGTTCCCATAACCTATGGGGATCTTTCTGTAAGAGATGAAGGTGGCAACCTGGGGTTCGGAAGGCTGGAGGTCAGACCCAGACATCTACACAGCAATGAAACAGCCCCATAGCCTGAGACCCATGAGCTTGTGTCAGCTGGCACAGATGTACCTTGAGAGTTCTAGCAGCATAGAGACAACAATTTCTTAACATGGATTTTTATTCCTTGCACCTAGAGCTCAAGCTGATGAGATGAGTGCTTGTGTGTGAGGGGGGGACGGGCAGGGGCAAGCAACCACAAAGTCTTTGGTCCACTGATCTTCCATAATGGCTTGTTTGGTGTCCATGGGGCTTCCTTTGTTGGAGAGGAGATGACATCTCTTGTGGTAAACTCGTATTTCACACTTGGTAATGCTCCTTTCTTGACTGGGTTCACAGTTTCAGGGCAAACACTTTTATAGTTACAGAGCAAACACTTAAATATTAAACACTGAGAACATGGATACAGATATTATAACTGAGCTTAACGCAGGCAGCAATTCACAAGCATTGCACATCTTTATAAATCTAATACCTATTTAATAATACTAATGCATGGATGAACCTGACTCGTCTCCAGCTGGACATTCATCCATGTTCAGTGAGGCCTTGGAATGAGCTGGCATCTGGTGTGCCAGTGTCACAGTTTGCATCCTGCATCATTTTTCTCTTTAGAGCTATGGGTCTGAGCTTTCACACTTCCCTTCTTCCACTTGTTACCCCAAAACCTATGGGTGTAAACCTGAGACTCGATACTCCCACAATGAACTCAGTTTTGTAATTCTAATTCAGTAAGGTTTAACTTAATTCAATATAGTTCCTTCAGGATATGTATCAGAATTACAGAAACAGAACAAAACCAGTCTACATTCTCCTAACAAATCCCAGATCCCTCTATGTGTCTGTATGATACTCAGGGCTTGTCTACATTGTAGGGACTATAGCAGCATGTACGGTGACATAGCTATGCTGGCATAACCCTATAGCGTAGACTCAGCTTACCGCAGTGGAAGAGGTTTTCCACCATTGTAGGAACAACACCTCCCTGGGTGATGGTACCTATGTTGATAGCTAGGTTCTGCTGTTGACTTAGCAACTGCCTCTCTCAAAGAGGTGAATTACCTGCATAGACAGGGAAAAAATCTCTTCCATTGATGTAGGAAGCATCTATACTACTGTGCTGCAGTACCATAACTGTGCCACTGTAGTGGTCGTAGTGTGAACATACACTAAGTCCCTTGATGGGTTTGGGCCTAGGTGTCTCACCTGCCTAAATACTTTTGAAAATTTGTCCCTAAATGGTATAGAGTAAGTGTATCGCAGTCTGACCCTTTATGATTATGGTTATTATTATTGCTGTTTTTCACAATACTATGCCCGTGACAAGCAGCAAACCTCTCCAGGTGCTGTGATCACTCAGCCATCAACATGTGGAAACCAACACCCAGCGAAATTACATGAATCCTCTCTAAGCCACTCATGAGCGGTATAAAGAAAGGCACCAAAAAATCACCCTAGCTCCCAGCCTTGCAACCCAGAAATATACCATCTTATACTGCTAAAATATCACTTGGACAGTGCAAGCTCATAATTAGTTCACCACTCTGACAAAGGGTAGTGGACACGTACCAGTCCATGTGAACCTGAGCTGAGATTCCCCGAGCATTTCAACCAAAACCACACTGTTTTAGATAAAATCTAAAACAGATTTATTAACTACAGAAAGATAGATTTTAAGTGATTATAAGTTGCAGGCATAGACATCAAAGTTGGTTACATAAGAAATAAAAAATAAAATTGCAGTCTAAATACTCCAGACTAAATAAGATTTTAATCAAACAGTTTTTTCACCCTAATAGATGACACAGGCAGTTTACAGTTCTTATTACACAGGCAGGATCCCCTTCCCAGCCGGGAACCAATCTTCCAAACAATCTTCCAGATGTTGAGATGGGAGAGGAGAGAGGCCAAGTGATAATGTCATTGTCCCTCTTTTATACATTCTTCCAGCTGCTATAAAGATCCTTGCTGAGATGTGGGGGTCAGGCAGCCCCCATTGGGTACATGGCCTCAATGAGGAGTCTCTTGGAGAGTTGATTCTTTGATGAGCCATCAACACATGTCTGGCTGGTCCTGATGTAAATCTGCCTTGTCAGTTACTCCTTTGTTGTCACTGAAAGGCGGGCTGTGGGTGTCTCTCAACCTCATAATGTATTTCAGTAATACACACATAACAAAACTCCATTACTTCAGGTACAACTTCAGGTAACACACATAATCCCAAAGGATATTAATGTTCAACAGATCATGACTTCTCAAATGATACCTCACAAGGAATGCATTGTACAAAACACATCATAATCACATCACAGTGGCAAATATGGAGGTCAAGGGCACTACTCTGAAGTACAGAGTCTCACAGGGCCCAATTGGGTAGGCAAGCTCAGAGCATGCCTGTGAGACTGGGCCCTGCAGCAATAGCATAGTCAAGAGTAAACATGGATAAATGGAGTTTACCTAGTTCTCATTTGGGGAATATGGATTTTAGTTACGTTAGGTTATCCCTTCTTTATTTACCAAGTCACCACTGTGAGGTAGGTGGAGGAACACCTATCTTTCCCCATTCCTGAATCACTCTGTGTTTTAGGCATCCAGATGCCTGGCATGGAGCATCAGTGTGTGTGCAAAAATGTAGGTGCTGAACAATTTTGGTGGAAGCTAAGCAGGGGGTTTGTGAATCCCAGTGGGGCTTTATTCTGGGATTTAGGTGCCTAAAGTGGCAGTGAGGTGCCTATGTCCTTTTGTGAATCTAGCCCACAGCATCTAGTATAAGAACTCTTGTCAAGGCTGTATCCCCACTTTGAACTTTAGGGTACAAATGTAGGGGCCTGCATGCAAACTTCTAAGCTTAACTACCAGCTTAGCTCTGGTCCGCTGCCACCATTTCCCAATTGGATTCCCTCCCTGGGAAGCCTTGAGAAACCTTCACCAATTCCCTGGTGAATACAGATCCAAACCCCTTGGATCTAAAACAAGGAGAAATTAACCATCCCCCCTCCTTCCTCCCACCAACTCCTGGTGAATACAGATCCAACCCCCTTGGATCTAAAACAAGGAAAAATCAATCAGGTTCTTAAAAAGAAGGCTTTTAATTAAAGAAAAGGTAAAAATCATCCTGTAAAATCAATATGGAAATTAACCTTACAGTGTAATCAAACTTAAAGAGCTCAGAGGACTCCCCTCTA